AAAAAAAAAAATATCAACAATGACCTATCATAATGACCTGCAGTGAATAAGTTAATAAATTTCGGATATGCATTAAATTTTTAACCGACTTCAAAAACGGAAAAGGTTATCAATTCGTCGGAATATTGTGCTTTTTTGTATTTTTTTGTTTTATATGTATGTTACCGCATAATTTAGGACCACGTGAACTGATTTCGATAATTTTTTNGCTTAAAATTTATTATAGTATAATAAAGTTCTGGTCCCAAGTGGCTGTAAAATAGTATGGATTTTTGAAAATTATTATTGTTGTTGTTAATTTTTTTTGTCGAGCATACTTTGTATGGAAGAAAATGCATGACACTGTCAACAAAAAAAGTGTTAAAAATCAATGGTATTTTGTAGCCACTTGAAAATTGCATGGGCTACAAAACTGCAACAAGTTTTATTGAATTTATATAAAATTTTAAAATCGGATTTACACGTTTTGAATATGATACATTTTTATAAAACGTTAAAGCGATACTCTGATTTATTTAGTTTAAAGTGGTCGTAAATTTAGTAGCGTGTGATCCCGAATAGGTATGGCTGCAGGTGGCAATTACAGAAAACGTGTCTTTCATCACAGCGATTCGAGAATATAGACATTTGTTGGGTTTGGGAACCACCAGTTTTACAAATCGAATGAAAGGACCCATCCCAAACGATAGAAAAAATCACTATGATTTTCGGAAAAGCAGCTGAAAAAATGTCCATTGGAATTGTGAAATGACGTATTTTCAAAATATTTTTAAGGGGATTGCCACGGATTTTCAAAATTCTGGAAAAAATTTGAAAATATTTTTGCAGTTAAAATTCTGTATTTTAAAATTCTGTAAGAACCAAATGATGTAGAATAAAAATCTGGAAAGTTAAATTCTGGATTCAAAATTATTTTGGACCAAAATTCTGTATTTTTTACATGTATGTATGTATGTATGGCTTGGAATTTCGCAATCATGTGCATATGCTCTTGCATTTGTATATTCGGTGCATTTGAAAAATGACAACAATAAAATACAAACGTTTGCCATGGTAACAAGAAAAAAATTTGCAAATGAAAATCCAATAATATTCGCACAAGATCCAGAACAGCGCTAATATTTCACCAACTTCCAGAATTTTGCAATACAGAGTATTAAAATACAGAATTTTGAATACAGATTATTTAACCATAGTAATTTTGTACCCAACCCAAGCCATCTGTTAAAAAGTTAAAATCGATTAATTAATATGTTTAATAAAGTATCACAACATTGTGGGCGTAAACGATGGACGATTTATTTCGAAACAAATTTTTACCAAACGAGAGATGTTTAAGAAAGATTTATGTCAACAATCTTTTAAAGGGAGCTGCCAACTGTTACCAGTTAAATAAAATATTTTAATATAAATTCAAAGAGTTTTTATTACGAAAACATTTGTAACACAATTACCACCTATTCAAAAAGTCAAATTCAATTTTATTAATAAATCGAATGATGTATTCAAATATAGGTGGCAAATGAATGAGGTTTAAGAAAGCTTTATTTTGAAATTATTTTGAAGAAGCTTGCCATACATGTGTTGTGTCCTACAACCATACATATGTACATACATGCCTATGTACTATATGTCGATGGTCCTCTGCAACAAATCAAAACTTAAACAAAAAAAAAATCCTTACCACCGTTCCACCGTTCAGTAGTAAGCATTTTTTTGTGTATTATGTAGTATCGTTATTGCAGAGGACCATCAATATGTAAGCAGAATTGACTTTGAAAGATTTTAATGTATGTACTTTTCAGTTATTTCATATATAAGCCACCTTGAAACAACGCAAACATGTTGCAACAATAAAATAAATTCACACAATTTGATTATGTGTTGCGGCCGCTGTAGTCGAGAGGTTAGAGATTGGCATTACCGCTCGGTAGGTCCACGGTTCGAGCCCCGGTCCGAGCAATATGTAAAATACATTTTTTTTTTCCAACAGCGAGTCTTTTTTTGTCAAGAAAAACATCTTCTCATTAAAGCCATTTGCCGTTCTGAGGCGGTAAAACTGTAAGTTCCTGCTTTTTGTGTGAGCACATAAAGGCGCACACCAAAAATCGGATGAGAAGCGCGGCCCAACACTAGCAAATGTGTAAGCGCCAAATATGAATGGCGACACACATCAAATTACAATATACGCACAAACATACTTTCAGGTCTTTCAACGTCTTGCTTTCAAGGCGGAAAAGCCCCAACAATAACTACGTAATATATACATACATACATACATACATTCATATATCTAATGATTATGTCATTATATAACAGCTAATTTAAATACATTTGTAGACAAAACAAATTGTCAACAGTTTAACGCCGACAACGCCTCAAATGCAATGAGTTAATCCATATATAGGAAATTGGTTTAAGTGGCAAAGTTTTAAAAATTGGGGTGTTAGATAATTGATGGGGGTAATATTACTTAAATAAGTCTTTGTCATACGATAGTTAGAATATATTGTGAACGTTAGCAATGTAAACTATTTGGTGAGCTACACTTGCAGTACAAAATACCCGAAGAAAGTAAATTCATCATTCAGATTATAAAAAAAAAAAAATATATCCGAAAGACTTCGAATGAAGTACAAAAAACCCCAAAGGCTACGAAAAAATCACGAAGGTTTCCGAAAGTTCTGTAAAAAATCGCGAAAATACAGAAGAGGAATCTTTCGGCGTAGTTGGTTATGAATTTATTTAAATATAAATTAATTTTTATACAGTATTATTTAAATTTTATTATTTATTATAAATAACAAAAAAACATAATTTTTATCTTATTTTTATTAATATAAATAAAAATGATAGGGGGTCTGTTTATTTGCAGGGAGGAATTACTAATTGATTTTATTTAAATGAAAATTAATTTTTATACAGTATTATTTAATAAATTAATTGAAGTAATAAAATTTTATATTTAAATTAAGTTAAGATAATATTAAAGTTTTATTTTAGCTTAAAATTTTATTATTGATTTTTGGATTTTGGTTGGTATTTTATATGCAAGTTTTTGCATGAATTTTTTACGGTTATGATCATGATTTTTTTTAATTTTTGATAATTCATTCATCCTCTCACCAAAAAATTGCTTAGGCACAAAAATCGGTTACATTCCTGAAAATTCGGTAAAAGTTTTCCCTTTAATATAAGGAAAGACGTGTATTGAAACCCAATATGGCGGACAAAAAAATTTCAAATGATTGGATTCACTTAAACGTTCCGCCATATTGGATTGTAAAAAATGCCTCTCATCATTTGAGAGTAAACATTTTTACCGAATTTTCAAGAATAAGTATAACCAATTTTTTTTACCTGAACCAATTGTGGAGGGGAGAAATGAATTATAAAAAATTATTAGTAACCTCCTGCCAACTGACTAAATTTCATTAATCTGTTGAAAAATATTAGAAAAAAAGCTATAATTTTTGTCTATGGAAGCTTTTCATGCCGACTGTAGCGCTCTTGCCGCTTGCCCCAAAATATATACAATGCTGGTTAGTATTAAGTACGTACTTGTTGAATAAATTACTTGACCATATTACTCGAATAGGCCATTTTTGATAAACCTTTCGTCCAACAAAGTACTAAATAGTGCCGCTCACTGTGCCATACTCGAAATGTTTCAGAAGAATTTAGGCATCAAAGACTACTTCCGCATACAAAAATTCACTTTTCAACGCTTAGGCATAGATCTTACAATCAAAAATGGACGAGTCATGCAACCATATTTCTTGGCTTTTATTATTTTTACGCTGGCTACGATCCTGCTACCGATGGTGGTTTACAGCAGGCGGCATTTGCAAGAAATTGCCGAGGTGACCAATGCAATGACGCCATTTATGCAGGCCACGATAACGCTTTGGAAGATTTGGCGTGTCATTTCGAGGCGCGAGGAAATGGCACAACTAGTCGAAAGCATTTATGTGGTTTCGGCAAGAGGTGGGTGTAATTAATTATGTATGTATGTATGTAGTTGAAATCTCCTAACTACTTATAACATTTATGTCCNTTAATTAATTATGTATGTATGTAGTTGAAATCTCCTAACTACTTATAACATTTATGTCCTTCAATTACTTTGACAATTTTACTTGCAAAGCCAACAAGAGCGAATTAAATTACTTAATACAGGAAAATAATCGCGAACGACTTATGAATAAAGCCTACTATTGCTCGGTATTGGTTACTGGAATTTTATCGCTGGCCGCACCTGTTTTGGTTAGCTTCTTACAATACTTGCTACTTGGCGAATTCGGCTATATTGTGGCGCTAAAAGGCGCGTAAGTAGTAACTAGTTAAAATGTGGACAGGAAAGTGATTGATCTGTTATCTCCGCTTCAGCTACCCTATTGACTTTGCACGACCGCTGAACTACTTCTTTATCTGGCTTTGGTCGGCGATTGCCATCTATGGTGTAATTTATGGTTCCGTATCAGTTGATAGTATCTTTTCTTGGTACATACACAATATAGTGGCAAATTTTAAGATACTATCATCCAAGTTGGAATCAGCAGAAAAGCTGCC